GGGTCATTTTCAAGTCAAAAACCGGACTGGCCTCAATCTTAAACGGCCCAATTGTCTCCCCTAAACCATCTCCAAGCTTGCCCAAACCTTTAAAATCCGACCCAGTCCTTCTTAACGCCCAAATGACATTGTTTCATTCAAAGCAATCAGGGCCCTTCATCTCGTCTAATCCAACGGACGAGAACTCTTTTTTCTTTACAATAAAACTGTCCGAAAATCCCTCAAACCCTAGAATTCATCTTTCTCAACCCCTCTCTCACCTCAGCCGTCGCTGTCCACCGAAAATCGCCTGCGGCGATGGCGCCACCCCAAACACACCAAAAATCACACCCTACGCTCCTCATCCTCCCCTCTCCTCAAACCCCATAATCATTTCCTTAAAATCCTCACCCATCTTCTCCAATTTCGGATCTGAAAATCCTGAAAAACCTAAATCCTTTCTTTTCTAATTGCTCCTCGACCCCGGCCCGTTTGAACTCAAAACCTACATCAATTTATTGCTCTTGATGAGAGCAATTGATTGATGTTAGTCTCAGTTCATCCTACAACCATCGGAGTTTGTTTGGTTTATAGGAGTTTGGTCGGAGTTTCATCGCCAGTCCTCGGAAGACCAGTAGGTAATTCCTCTACTCTATTTCATTTTTCTTCTTTTCTTTTATTCTTTTTTTCTGTTGTTTTTCTTTTTAACCAAACGACCCTTCTGTTCCTTCTCAATTTCTTCTTCAGATTGTTTTCCCTAATAATTAAGAGATTTAATTACTCATTAATTTAGTGTAAACATATAACATTAGTTTAATTAATTTTAGATTAGAGTGGACAACTGGATTAGTTTACTTGTTAAATTAGGCGTTGGTTTTGTTTTGTTTCTGCTTTTGCATGATTTACTTATCAGTTAACTGCATGATTGTTTAGTTTAATTGTATGTGTTGGATTAATTGAATCAATTTTAATTAGTTCAGTAATCTAGTTTAGGTGAATTAGTCATTTGTTTCTATTTCATTTGATCTGTGATTTGGTTTTCAATAGTTTGATTGCTGATTTTGAATGTCAATAGGAATTAAGGGGGTTGAAAGGACAAACAGCAAAGGTTAAAGGGGTCAAAGGGATTTGGAAATTTAGGGAATCTGAGCTGTTTGTTTGGGGAAGTCTCTAGAAGGGACTAAAGTGCATATAAAACCAAAAATTAGATCAATTTGGGGGTAGAAAAAGGTAATTTTCAGAAGTTAAAGGTTTTAAAAAAATAGAGAAAATATCTGAAATTGGACAACTGTCTATTTTTCAGTTGAAAAAGATACCTCTCCTAAAATTTAGCTGACAGATTCCCTCACACTCCTCTGATTTTTCCTCTCATAAGAGCACATGCTCACATTCTATAAAGGGACTCCTCATCCTCTCATTTTACACACACTATTCCCTGCAAATTTCACCCACAAACATCCACTGGTTTCACAATGCAAAAACACTCTGAATTCTGTAGAACTCACACACAGACTCCCTCATCTTCAATGATTTTTTTTCAAAGAAAAAACTCAGAAAATTCCAACTTAAATACAGAAAACAAAAAGAAAGGGTAGATTCAAAGTTTGTTCTTAATCTCTGCTCAGTTGCTGTATATTTTCCTGGGTTTTCATAGCTATTTGAGTTGATTAGTCATTGTTTCTTGCTGCTGGTTCTGTTTCTATTGTGGTTGAACTTTCAACTTTGGAGTTCAAGTTCATTTGCTTGCTGTATTTGTTCTTGCTGCTGCTCTTTTTCCAGTTTTCAGAGGCTTATTTTCTTTTTTATTTTAATTATGCTGCTAGGTATGTAAATTTCCATTTATCATTTTTCATCTACTGATATGAGTAACACTGGCTATATTCGTGTCATGTTTATACTTAGCTTCTGCTTCATGAATTGTGATGCTCAATGGTTTCATTTGTACTATTTGCTGGTTTCTTACTATTGAAGTATTGTGCTAATAGATGTGCTTCACTATAAA